TTGAGGGGGCGTGGGAAGATGGGGGGGGGGGTAATTAAGGGGTGGGGGAAGGTGGGTGGATGGGTGGGGCAAGAATGTGGATTACAGAGAGGGGGTGGGCATAAAGAGGGGGTTACGGAGATGGAGGTAGAGAGGGGGGGGAGGGGACGTGACGGCCATCGTGACAGATGGTAACACCCCCCCCCCACCCTTCATGTTACTCTCCCCCCACCCCCCACCCTCGTCACATCCACCACACTGTTGGATAAACAGACCTCAGAACTATACCTGACATTCTTTGTACCTTAGTGCGCCTGGCACCGGTAAGGACGCGTCGTCACCGGCCGCAATTGACCTGTTTACGTAAACAGTGTTTGTGTGTGTGTGTGTGGAGCACCGGCCACAGGAACCAGTTGGGCACCTTTGTGTGTCGACCACGCCCACCTCTTACGGTAACCCTCCTCTTAAAAATAACGTCACTTTTCGCTGGTATGCGCACTATGGCCAAATTTGGACGTAATTTGAAATGAAATCGACTCACAAAAGTGACGTACTGTTCCGTTTTCTGTTTGAGTCGTCCGCCTTACGCTGTAAGGTTAAAAGAGGAAACTTTCAATTAACGTTTTTAATACCGTTTTGAAACTTTATGAGAATTTCCTTCCCACCTAACCTATCAGAGGACACTTAACTTACTGTTGTTGAAAAAAAAATCCCAAATTTATTTTCATATTTTTTTCATTTTCAAATTACGTCCATATTCGGCCATACGGGCAAACGGCCAAAAGCGACGTTCTTACGGAGCTTTGACGGTATCTATCCTCTTGATGCTCTGACTTTATCTGTTCTCTTGAAGCTCTGACTATTGGTGTACCACGTGACAAGGCTTTTGCGCTCCATGAGTTTAGCCAATGCTGCCTTTACTCTGCAAGTGGTTCTTTATTGAGGGTGTTGCTGGTGACAGGTGCGACAGATAAGACAGGTGAGACAGGTGCTTGAAGAGGAGTGGACAGGAGACCTGGTCGACGACCGGGCCGCGGGGACGCTAAGCCCCGGAAGCACCTCAAGGTAACCAGGTATAGGCATCCCACCCGGCGGGGTCTGCCGGATACCTTGTCTGATACCTGCCGGGTACCTTGTCTGATACCTGCCGGGTACCTTGTCTGATACCTGCCGGGTACCTTGTCTGATACCTGCCGGGTACCTTGTCTGATACCTGCCGGGTACCTTGTCTGATACCTGCCGGGTACCTTGTCTGATACCTGCCGGGTACCTTGTCTGATACCTGCCGGGTACCTTGTCTGATACCTGCCGGGTACCTTGTCTGATACCTGCCGGGTACCTTGTCTGATACCTGCCGGGTACCTTGTCTGATACCTGCCGGGTACCTTGCCTGATACCTGCCGGGTACCTTGTCTGATACCTGCCGGTACCTTGTCTGATACCTACCGGGTACCTTGCCTGATACCTGCCGGGTACCTTGCCTGATACCTGCCGGGTACCTTGTCTGATACCTGCCGGTACCTTGTCTGATACCTGCCGGGTACCTTGTCTGATACCTGCCGGTACCTTGTCTGATACCTGCCGGGTACCTTGCCTGATACCTGCCGGGTACCTTGCCTGATACCTGCCGGGTACCTTGTCTGATACCTGCCGGGTACCTTGTCTGATACCTGCCGGGTACCTTGTCTGATACCTGCCGGGTACCTTGTCTGATACCTGCTGTGCCAAACATAATTAAATTTACGATTTGTCACGAGAACCGGAAATCAACTGATATTTTGACTTTTATCATAACACGGATATCCCAGTTGCAGTCACCCAGATGTTGATGTGCGTCATGAAGATACGACCAGGAGGAGATAAGAGATAACGAGAGGCGATAGTTTTAAGAGAAAGACTCGTTATTCAACGTGAAAATGTAAGCTTTCTATAGACTACTAATTTCTCAGCTCTGATGTTCACCCAGTGAAGGAGAAATCTGATTTCAACATTGGTTAATACAGTCTGAGTGCGGGAACTGTGAAACCTCTAGAAACAAACTTGTCTCAACCCGGCATACTGAGTGGCCAGCGACGCCGTCGTCTCCAGGGGGCCAGATTCACGAAACATTTACGCAAGCACTTACGAACCTGTACATCTTTTCTCAATCTTTGGCGACTTTGTTTACAATTATTAAAGTTAATGAGCTCCGAAGCACCAGAAGGCTGTTTATAACAATAACAACAGTTGATTGGGAAGTTTTTATGCTTGTAAACTGTTTAATGAATGTAACCAAAGCCGTTAAAGATTGAGGAAAGATGTACAGGTTCGTAAGTCCTTGCTTCGTGAATCTAGTCTCAGGGACGCTGTGAGACCCTCGGACGCGGGCCAGGCGCTCCGAGGGACTCTGCCTCTACCTCCTCCTCTCCATTACCACTCCGTAACAAATGCAGCGGTTTAACCTAACCAGAAGCGTCAGAACCGAGCCGACCCCACCTGAGCTTCCGACGCCGATAATCACTTGGCCCATAAAACGTCAACATTGCGATGGTTCTAATTTCCCTAAACCATAGCAATTTGTACGTTGGGGCGTCGATAGAATACACAAATGTAAGTGTTGACTGTGTCCCACCCCTGTTTTTGCCCCGCTCCTGGACCAGGTAAGTCCACTACGGGCTCACCATAGCCCGTGCTACTTGCCCCGCTCCTGGGCCAGGTAAGTCCACTACGGGCTCACCATAGCCCGTGCTACTTGCCCCGCTCCTGGGCCAGGTAAGTCCACTACGGGCTCACCATAGCCCGTGCTACTTGCCCCGCTCCTGGGCCAGGTAAGTCCACTACGGGCTCACCATAGCCCGTGCTACTCGAAACTTTGTTTCCCGTAGCTGAATCTTAAACAATAACAACCTGTAGGTCGACCGCGGCGGTCCGGTCTGGACCAGACTTGATCCCATGGGTTCAACCCGCGGTTTTGTAACGGAATCGACCAATCCGTTAAAAATACGACCTATTAGTGCAAATGAAACCACTGTAATATTGACGTATTATTGCTTGGGGTCGTATATTTCTGGCCAGGCAGAGCAGTTGCCATTTAATGGAGTGACAAATGGAGAGATCGGCTAAGGTTTAGATGAGAGTATTGACCATCTCCCTCTCTCACAGGGCCGCCAGGGGTCAGTATTGACCATCTCCCTCTCTCACAGGGCCGCCAGGGGTCAGTATTGACCATCTCCCTCTCTCACAGGGACGCCAGGGGTCAGTATTGACCATCTCCCTCTCTCACAGGGCCGCCAGGGGTCAAGACCAAAATATATTCTAGCAAGTGTGTGGAAAGATCATCCAATTCAAAGAGGAATATTTCAGAGCTATCCAAGAAACTTTATATTTTGATGTCAGAGGTTATGTAACTGCATCATTTGTTGCATGTTCATGACCTACTTGCAACCTCTGACTGCAAAATATATATAGCAATAGACCGGATTATACTGAGTACTAGGTCGCTTCGTCTTGATTTAGCATGATCTGACGAAACAAGTTTACTAAACGAGAACAGAGAAAGGTGACAAAGCGAATCCCAGGAATCTGAAAGCTTCCTCATGAAGAGAGATTACGAAAGTTTAATTTACATTAGAAAGACGAAGATTATGGGTTAACATGATTGAAAAAATACGTAAGTGTGAAAGGGTCTAACGAAGGGGATATTAATTGGGAGATTAATATATCAACATAAAATGGAATACGAAATAATGGATGGAATTTCGATTAATTTAAATCCATGAAGGACGGGTTTAAATACTGGGATGGGAATAGGCTTGTATGATTTATGGAATAAATTACCGGCTGCCATAATAGACCTGCGATCCCTGGATTGTTTCAAGCGTAGGTTAGACATACATATGAATAAGTTTGGGCGGATATGCTGGTAATAGGCGCGGCCTCATATACGCCAATAAGTCTTTGGTAGTTTCATATATTCTTATGTTCTTAAAAACTAATTTCACTTATATAGTCAATTTTCTGATTCTTTTTATTTGCTAAGTATATCAACTAAGGAAGTTATTCCAACAGATATGAAGAAAAAGTTATTCCCTGCCTATAACGAGATGGAAGCTGTATCAGTGTTTATCCTTGAAGCATTCTAAACTACGTTCTTGGGATGAAAGAACGTAGATGTTCGTGACAGCTAAGTGTTCTCAGGAGATATATAATGTCCATCAACCTATGATAGTTGTCTTGGTGCATGATACCTCGCTATCTATTACAGCTTCCGATAGATGTGTTCACACACTGAAAAAACCAGGCTGTTGAGTAATCTTTGATAATGCTGTACCTTCATTTCCTGCGATATTTTCTCCTTTGCCTACCTTATCTACGGGCTACATTACAGATACCATCAGTATGCTACCAGTGCCGGCCGAGTCAGTTGGAGCTGTGCTGCGTGGTGATATCGCGCTCTTTTGAATATTCACAAACGTCACTGACACCGCTACTAGAATTATCGTATCTCTTGAGAGCTTCAAGAAGTGTTCGGATAAATCCTGTAGGACAGGCAGAGTTATCGTAGCATTTGAGGGGCTCAAGAAGGGTTAGTTTACCAGGGTTCACAGTAAAGGAGAGCGTGTCCATCTGATTACGTCTCTCATGCAGGACCGAGGTGTTCCACGTTCTCAAAAGTGGATATGATTAAACACGAAAGCTCTGCCTAATTTTCTCGAAGCAGCCGTTGTGAAGCTGCGTACGGACCAGAGAGTACGGTGCCTGCCTCTCGATCTCCTCAGACGTGACCCCCTGCCTCCTCCTCCTCCTCTGGCGATGTCTCAAACTCCTTAGATGCAAGCCACGAAGACGCTAATAATATTTTGCAAACTCCTGGATATAAATATTAGTTGATAATATTTATAATATTAATAAATATTAATATTATAAATATTAGAAATATGTGATGGAAATTCAGACTCCAAAAATCTGTATTCTGCTGTAACAAAACACATATTTTAGCATGAAATTGGAGAAATCTGCGGCCATAATTTGTTACACAGAGTGCAAGATTCTGTCAAGTGGGGCACTGTATCACACTTGTGAATTGCTAAATACTCTTCCAAAAGGCAGTCGTATATGGTCAATATTTTGAACGTCAAGGACTTCCCCTCGAGACAAGTTCAATTCCCTCGACTCCAGGGAACAATGAGTCCCATCTCACACCAGAAATAAAAGTAACTAGAAATTACCCGGATTATGTCGTGAAGAATGTCTTGCTTCCTTCCGGGATGTGGCGAGGCAACCTCTCCCAACACTTAATGCTCCACAATGTTGGTGTCATGGGCCACCGCGTCAAAATATTCGGTGAAATTTAAATCACCATAATATTGACGCTGTCTGGGACTAATGAGAATCAACCTCGCTAGGCTAGTGAGGTTATCTAGGTAGTCTAGGTAGGTAGGTAGTCTAGGGAGTCTAACTCGAAGAGTTAGACAATGCAACCTCAACTCTGACAAATGTCAATTCGTGAGAACGGGCTGGTATATAAAACACGTTTGTAGACATGGACGAACATGCATGAGGGGAATCTATCGCCACGTCTGTGGACATCATTGTATCAGGTAGATGTAGCCGTTGTACCTTTACGTTTATGAACATCAGTTTACCAGGGGCCAGATTCACGAAAGCACTTATGCAAGCACTTACGAACCTCTACATCTTTCTCAATCTTTGGCGGCTTTGTTTCCAATTATTGAAGAGTTTACAAGCATGAAAACTTCCCAATCAACTGTTGTTATTGTTATAAACAGCCTCCTGGTGCTTCAGAGCTCATTAACTGTTTAATAATTGAAAACAAAGCCGCCAAAGATTGAGAAAAGATGTACAGGTTCGTAAGTACTTGCGTAAGTGCTTTCGTGAATCTGGCCCTGGTGTAGGGGTATTACTTCCATGTCAAAAAACATTATTGTATCAAGTGTAGGGGTTCTTCCTCCATGTCTGCGAACGTCACGTCTCAGATATAAATGGTTAACCTCCATGTCTCCAAGTGTAAGTTCAGTTAAGGCTAAAAGTATGTGTGTGTGTGTGTGTGAACTCGGTCTTACACAAGCGTTATGTGGCGTCCTCAGACCTTCATCCACTTGACACTCTCACACAAAGAGTCCGGTGTCGGAGTAACAGCACTAACGTAGAACGTGTGGTTCCCACAGCCGGCGGTCCGTGCAGGAGACGAAGGCCTGGGACGTGTTCCGGACGCTGCCCCCCTCCACCAGCTCCCTCTCTGAAGACAGTCAGAGGTTCCTCGAATATACCATCAAATGTCTCAAGGTTAGTAGCCTAAACTTCACGTCTATACACACTTAGGACTTTGAACACCTTGTTTGATGCTTGTTTTATTGTCATATACTTGGAATTTATAATGTAAATCAAATTAACTCATTTCAGAAATGGTCGTACATTTAACACGATTAAGTAATAATATTAATAATGTTTATTATAATTGTCCATAATATGTCAAAATTAGAAATATTGTTACAGACATAGGCGCAATTAATTATTACCTAGCGTAAAAATAACGTTAGGGCATTTATGAGTTGGCTACCATTATGTATCAAATATTAAAATTTCAATATTGTATTAAGTATTGCATTTTATTAATGCTGACTCACGATTAAAGAACAATTCCAAGACAATGGTTACAAAACTAATTATTTGCGCGATTTCTTAGGAGAGGCTACAAGTGGAACTTCATAAGTGTACAAGTATGGTGTACAAATTGTATAATGCATGTAAATGACTGGTAGGGTGTTTGGGAGCCACATCAGGCGAGGGTGTACACTCAAGACAGGTTTCGGAAGGGTTTCGGGTATCCTTATTGAGCTAGGGTGCACGGAGAGGCTGGCATGAAGGTTACTGAAAATGTTGCAGGAAGAATTTAAGGAATCTCCATTAAACTAGTGTGTATGTATTGCCTGCAGGAAGGTTTAGGGTGTCACCATTAAACAATAGTGTATGAAGAAGCTGCAAGAATTTCTTAGGATGGCCCCCATTGGTCTAGAATGTATGGAGAAGATGTGAAGTATACAAATTCGGCTTCAATGTGCGATAGGCTACAAGATGAATCTGAGGAGTTAACAGTAACCAGATAATACAGAGTGGCTGCTACAGAAGGGTTTATGGAGGTCTACACTAGACTAGAGTGAACAGAAGGGAGCCTCCTGGAATGATTGCCTCCGTCAGCTACTGGCCGAAATCAGTGCACTGAGGTCAAACGTTTTGATCTAAATCTGGCTTGAGATGTCATATCGATTATGAGTGACGGTGACGGTTATGGCGTGTGAATTGTCACACAGGCACTCTAGTGACCGATTGTGAGAAATATGTCAGAGTGTGAGCTATTGTAGGTCACCTGCTGGAATTGAGAAACGTGATGTCACTACGCTGTAATCTTATTGCTATTATTGTCGTTATTATGAGGATATAATGTAATGCGATCACTTCAAAATAATTCCATTTACTGTTTCTTCAATTTTGTTTGATATATATTACCAATTACAATGATTCTGGGATCGTGGCAGCAAACGGGTTGTTATCACTATTATCAGTAACAGGTACTCACCACCTAATTAGTACATTATTTATTTTTATTTAAATTTAGGTGTTATATGGTCATAATTTCCAAATTTTAATTTTCAGTGTAAGTTGTTAGTAGGCCTCAAGGAATAGTTTGAGGCCACAACTCGGCCTTAAACAATAATTACCTTCAAATTATTGTAGTTAATTATTGTTTTAGGCCAAGTTGTGCTAGGGTTTTGTCCGCCGCAGGTGCGGATATTTCCTTGCTTTATGGGATGTACATATTCCATTATTGTGTTTTAAGTATAAACAACATCATAATAGCGAGATGAATATGTGAGAAAATATGGCAGTGTGGGATCGCACCAGCATCTCCGGACTCTCCCAGAAACAATTCTAGTTTAGATACTTTTATACAGGGTTGGTAAAAAAAACAAAACACGGTTTTCACTTAACACGCAACCCGTCCGGGTTTTATATAATTATCTTTCCTGGTGGATGGAATCTTCGGACCCTCTGGCCCCCCCCCCTACCATGTATGGTTATAGGGTTTAAACTATACCTGGTCCGAAGATTCTATCCACCAGAAGAGAAGATGATTATATTAAACCCGGGCGGGTTGGGTTTTAAGAAGACAAAAACGGAATTATTTGTTTACTAAACTTGATAGTAACCCATCATGGCAGAGTGGGTGGTGCGTGTTCCTGGGGGAGGCCAGAGATACAGGTTCCATCTCACATATTCGCCATAAAGTTTTCTCATAGTATACCACAGTCGGTGACAGGAAGCCAAATTGGCGCCCACAGCCTAGGACGGCTCAATGACCCGCGCCGTCACCGCGCCGAGCATATCATTCCAAGTTAAAATGTCGTTCGCTTGTTCAGTTCGCTAACGTTGGTGCCTTCCTCCTGTAGGTGTTCACATACCTGCTGACCTTCGGCGTGGTGCTGACGTCTGGGGTCATTACAAAGGGCATCGTCCTCCTTATGACCTCACAGCTCAAGAAGTCCAAGCAGCTGCCCATATGTGCCAAAAACCTCAATGGTCTCTGTAAGTACACTATGCATTTGTATAATTTAATATATATTACATAAATTCTTAATATAAACATATATTTAGGGCAGGTGAGTTATTTTTTGCCAATACATGCACCGATATACAGCTGTTACAGCTAATTATATTTATTATAAACTGTCAAACTTTTCATGTAGTGAAAATGTGTACGTTACAAAGGTACACACACACTTACTCACACACTTAACGCTACATAAAAAATACATAAGTGGTCATCATTAGTATAAAACGTTCCCTCTGCGTGATGATTGTCAAGAATGCCTTTTTTTTATACAAGGCGTGAGAAAGCCTCAGATGACTGGGTTTAGAATGTCCAACGTCGCTTGTCCTGAGCTGTTGACCCGCGAGCAGCGCCCGAGGCCGGCAGGACAGAGAGAGGCTCCGTGAATCTGTCATACCTGAACCCAATATAGTTACATATTAACGCAATCTACCCCAGACGTAAAATTGGCGTTGGTTTAGGGGAAACAAAAAACACCGCAATACTAACGCTGCCTAAGCCTAATGAATATAGGCTCGGGTTGGTTAGGCGGATATTCTAGGTTATGGCGCCTTTTTGGTTAGGCCAAACCACAGTTTTTTTGTTTTTTTTTGCGGAGGGGGGTCGAGAGAACGTCTTAGTGATGTCTGGAGAGAGGGACCGGGCGCTGCGCTCTTCTGCGCTCACCCCTCCAACTCTGCGCTCTCCCACACTCACTCCTCCAACTCTGTGCTCTCCCACGCTCACTCCTCCAACTCTGCGCTCCACACACCTCAAACTCACACATGCAAACCTAGGTTTAAGAAAACGATAGCGTTTAAGTGTCGGGAAATTGTATATATTGTTCTTTATAGTTCATCCTTTTCGCGGGAAACAATAATCCCAAAATGGAGAATCGTCGGAGTTCGGCGTTGTTCTGCGGGGTTATGTGGAGGCTTAGCGTTGTTCTGCGGGGTTATGTGGAGGCTTAGCGTTGTTCTGCGGGGTTATGTGGAGGCTTAGCGTTGTTCTGCGGGGTTATATGGAGGCTTAGCGTTGTTCTGCGGGGTTATGTGGAGGCTTAGCGTTGTTCTGCGGGGGTTATGTGGAGGCTTAGCGTTGTTCTGCGGGGTTATGTGGAGGCTTAGCGTTGTTCTGCGGGGTTATGTGGAGGCTTAGCGTTGTTCTGCGGGGTTATGTGGAGGCTTAGCGTTGTTCTGCGGGGTTATGTGGAGGCTTAGCGTTGTTCTGCGGGGGTTATATGGAGGCTTAGCGTTGTTCTGCGGGGTTATGTGGAGGCTTAGCATTGTTCTGCGGGGTTATGTGGAGGCTTAGCGTTGTTCTGCGGGGTTATGTGGAGGCTTAGCGTTGTTCTGCGGGGTTATGTGGAGGCTTAGCGTTGTTCTGCGGGGTTATATGGAGGCTTAGCGTTGTTCTGCGGGGTTATGTGGAGGCTTAGCGTTGTTCTGCGGGGTTATGTGGAGGCTTAGCGTTGTTCTGCGGGGTTATATGGAGGCTTAGTGTTGTTCTGCGGGGTTATGTGGAGGCTTAGCGTTGTTCTGCGGGGGTTATGTGGAGGCTTAGCGTTGTTCTGCGGGGTTATGTGGAGGCTTAGCGTTGTTCTGCGGGGTTATGTGGAGGCTTAGCGTTGTTCTGCGGGGTTATGTGGAGGCTTAGCGTTGTTCTGCGGGGTTATGTGGAGGCTTAGCGTTGTTCTGCGGGGGTTATATGGAGGCTTAGCGTTGTTCTGCGGGGTTATGTGGAGGCTTAGCATTGTTCTGCGGGGTTATGTGGAGGCTTAGCGTTGTTCTGCGGGGTTATGTGGAGGCTTAGCGTTGTTCTGCGGGGTTATGTGGAGGCTTAGCGTTGTTCTGCGGGGTTATATGGAGGCTTAGCGTTGTTCTGCGGGGTTATATGGAGGCTTAGCGTTGTTCTGCGGGGTTATGTGGAGGCTTAGCGTTGTTCTGCGAGGTTATATGGAGGCTTAGCGTTGTTCTGCGGGGTTATATGGAGGCTTAGCGTTGTTCTGCGAGGTTATATGGAGGCTTAGCGTTGTTCTGCGGGGGTTATGTGGAGGCTTAGCGTTGTTCTGCGAGGTTATATGGAGGCTTAGCGTTGTTCTGCGGGGGTTATGTGGAGGCTTAGCGTTGTTCTGCGGGCTTCAGCGGTGAATTTCCCAGATGCACGAGATAATGAAGGGACATTAACTAAGGAATTTTTGGCAAATTATGCCAAGGTGTGAAGGTAGACGCTGGGGTGACGGGGGCGGGAGATCCCTTGAATATTTTTACCCCAAGCTTCGTGGTCAGCGACTACACCGCCTCCGAGGCGGGCAGGGACACGGCAGAGGACCCAGGGTACCCCAAATGCCCGCCCCTGACGATACACTCCTGTGGTTCACATACCGTGCAGGGGGACGTACTTCAACCCACAACCCACGTACGGTACGGTGGGGTACGTACATCAACCCATGTACGGTACGGTGGCTCCACCCCACGCCACAGCCACCCACACTCAGGTTGTGGTGGTGTATACAATATATTGGTTATTTACTTCAAGGGCATGGGGGTGGGGGGCTTCTGTCCAGGAACGCAAGCGTCGTCTAGGGGACTGACTTCCTATCGTTCAGACATCGATAATACAGGTTCTGTTAACTGTTGTAGGCTGACACGCCTCAGTTAGTTGTGGTGCCAGAGACAGTCGATCAGTCACTCAAGGACTGTAGTTATGTGACTGGTGACACTTCATATAAAATAAGTCATCAGCTGCTGACATCACAAAATTATATAAAACTTATATTTTGACAATAATCATATAGCTATTTCCTGTTAAATGTGAGGTTGGTTAAATGTTAAGGTTTAAAGACTGCTGACCTCTATGGCTGTTAAGGTAGTAGTTTACCTTATATTTCAAGTATTCTCAAATCTAACACATGTCGAGTGGAGTTTATACAAACCGTGAAGCATGGCCTGTTTGATAGAGTATATATACATTGTGTTGTTTACATACATCATGGCCTTTGTTACGGATCGATGTGTCTCCCATGATTAACAGTTAAGGTAGATTGCAGCTACAATGAGTTAAGTCAGTTAAGGCGTACACAGTTGGTTGCCTCAGTATTGAAAATATGTGTAGTTAGTTAGGTTAGGTTAGGTTAGGTTAGGTTGGGCTATATTAGGTCAGGTGAGGTAGTTGTTAAAATCCACTTCAAACAGCCTTGCCTGTTAAGGTATTCACAAGTGCTGCTAATCCAGTATTCGCTAATACTGGTGACGTATGTTGAAACATGTTGCAACCGTTGATGCTGACCTGGTATTCAGACTCGTTGCAAATGACGTGCAGGGTAGCATTTGTAAGGTGGCAGGTGGTGGTTGCCCAAGCCATTAAGACCAAGACAGCCTTATCTAGAAGACGGTGAGTAACTACCCTCAACAGGACACCCCAAGTTTCCCGTCTCCGCCTCGGGCGTTAGAAATGGTGGTCCTGAGGCGAATCAGCTTCTTTACTTGTATGGAATTAAGAAGTTTAGCTCTGGAACCGGGGAGGTTGTTCAGCATTGTTGGTCGTGAGAGAAATATGCGTTTGTCAAGATTCTTCGTGGACCTGATGTGATGGAAATCTTTTTTTTTACCAGTATACATTTGAACTGCAGTACGTTTTCTGTGAGGATGCTTCTTACATGCCTCCCAACCACAACATCTCAGACGACCCTTCACCACAACCACACATCTCCCACGACCCTCCACCACAACCACACATCTCACACGACCCTCCACACATCTCACACGACCCTCCACACATCTCCCACGACCCTCCACCACAACCACACATCTCCCACGACCCTTCACCACAACCACACATCTCCCACGACCCTTCACCACAACCACACATCTCACACGACCCTCCACACATCTCACACGACCCTCCACACATCTCCCACGACCCTCCACCACAACCACACATCTCCCACGACCCTTCACACATCTCACACGACCCTCCACACATCTCACACGACCCTCCACACATCTCCCACGACCCTCCACCACAACCACATCTCACACGACCCTTCACCACAACCACACATCTCACTCGACCCTTCACCACAACCACACATCTCCCACGACCCTTCACCACAACCACACATCTCCCACGACCCTCCACCACAACCACACATCTCCCACGACCCTCCACCACAACCACACATCTCCCACGACCCTCCACCACAACCACACATCTCCCACGACCCTCCGCTACAACTACTCAGCCGTCGACACAACATCAGTGCAAAGTTCTTTGTCACATCTCACCGCTGACCTTCGTCCCCAATACGGTCATCGGCCCTTACCAGTCATGAGCTTGGGGCCGCTGGCTCCCGGCGCCCGTCAACCATAAAACAAAAGCTTAACTTGAGTGTAAAAGTTTAGCTTCTTACCTATCTTGCGTGAAATTGAACATTTATTAAGTTCAAGGGACAGCCTGTTCCCACGATATAGCGAGCATCTAATTTGAAGTGACTTGGCGTACGATCCTAGTCGCTGGGATTACACCTAAACACCTCAGTTTGGACACTTGTCGACAGCGTACAAGTTGAAGAGCATTAAGAACGAGGGGGAGGTCGTAGAAGAGTGATCGAGGGAGCATGAGACAAGCACACAAGGGAAGGTTGCGTGCTCCACAATACTGATAACTTTTATTGGTTTCAACATATCTGGGAAGATGTACTGTGAAGCTGTGGTGTTAGTGTACTAGATGGGGGTACCAGGCTGTGCCAGGTGCTCTCTGACGCCTCTCTCATCTCTCTTCCCCTATCCATCATTTGCCCTCTCTCTCCTTCCCTCCCCTACCCTCTCTCTCTCTTTCCCTCCCTATCTTCTCTCCCAGTCTCCCCACACTTTCATCTCTCCTTCTACTTCCCTCTCTCTCAAACCAAAAAAATATTGTAAAGAACATAAATACTGTTAGATAGCTCTACGGAAGACACGTCCTAATGCCACTCTTGGCACCATGAAAACCTGCA